GCGAATGGCAAGTCCCACTGATGATGCCGACTACGATGCCGGCGAAACGTCTGAGAATGTATCAAGTCCATTGTTGGATGCTAAGAAGTCAAGACAACTACTATGGCAGATGACTTCGGACTCGGTGCGTTCTACATAGTCTCCCTGAACACAAGACCAAGTTGCGACAACGAGGTCAACCCACTTTAATAACTCGGTGCGTTCTACATAGTCTCCCTGAACACAAGACCAAGTTGCGACAACGAGGTCAACCCACTTCTATAGCTATTTGGTTAACAATAGACCTGTTTGATCATAAACATGATCCTTGAATCACAACTATTGTTAGCCAACCAGCTCTAGCTTCCATTGTTTCTATCCTCTTTCTATCTCTAATACCAAGCCTATTACTTCCTATGCCCTAGTCTGCTGTGTGCCAACCGACAAATGTTGTGGTTCAACATTAAACCAAATCAAAACAAGCTGTACCACAACATTTGTCGGTTGGCCTACAAGAGACTAGGGCATGGCAAATCATAGTTTTGGTTTTCGGGATAGAAAAAGGATAGAGACGGCAGAGGCCGGAGCTAGTTGGTTGACGGAAGGTCTGTCGTACCAGAGACGTGGTACATGTAGTAAAAGGGTGACCATGACACTCAGAGGCTTACGCCTCTAATTAGTTACAAAGACGCAGGGGGGGAGGCGAATAACGCCTCGAGTCGAGTGAAATAGGTTAACAAGGGGTAGCGCAGAAGGATTTTACGGAGAGAGAGAGAGACTGGAATAAGACTAGGAAGGAAGATTGCATAATAATAAAGCAGACTGATCAACATTCCCTGCACAAAGATAAAGGGGGGTGTAAGAACGACAGTTGGAGTGTGAAGGTTTCATGTCGCTCAAAAGAGCTCACCACACTATTTCAAAAGAAACACGATAAAAATTGTAATAGTGAAGGCATGATATGATGCTACCGTAAACGCGAATAGTTCAGGGCAGAAGGGGAGATTCCACAATTGTTTAGCACAAGTTTAGTCAGAGGATCGGCTTCACTTGTCTCTTTGACCAGTTGTTGTGTGGTGCTAAGAATGATGATACTCACTGACGATGCCGACGAAACGTTTGGGAATGTACCACGTCCACGGTCCTACTCTGGAAATGATCATGCATACGATGGACCCCAGATAAGTTGCGTTCCTCTAAGTCTTCCTACAAACATGACCAAGTTGCGAAAACAAGGTCAACCAACGAAAGGAGACTCCGACCACACAAAAGGCCACACCATCTTGGTCTTTATACCTTCAACCAGAGTTTATGTTTCCAATTTATCCTGTATAGTGAAGTAAAGGGTTTTCTTAAATATAATATAATCAGAGAAGATAAATACTGACAAAAAGAGATATTTTCCGTGAACCAAATGGCAGGCGAGCCATTCGGCGTGTAACGAGCATTACCTGAACTGATCAAGGCTAAGTTAAAAAGGTTAATAATGGCTCTTTATCACATGGAAGAAGACTGTAGAAGGAATTCATTTACCAAGCAAAGTCAGTCCGAATGGGTGCGGTAGATTGCCAGTAAGGACTGGTTCCGGTCGGCCACCATCATAGCTTACACGACTGACCACGGCCAAATAAGCATCGACATAGTAGAGTTGTCTGGCGGCCCAATCCAGAGCAATGCTGTTTGGCCAGTGCGTGCGCCGAGAGACAATCACTTTGCTGAAAGCAAATTTGACAACGCGAATTAATACGAAACAGGATGGAGCATCGTTAATTTGAGTGAAGAGCTGGATATTGCATGGTGTAAGTAGTAACAAAGAGAGTAATAACAATGGAGTAATGGCAGCGATAATAATTTGCTAACCTGATGATTTGATAATAATAATTTGCTATTTAAAAAAGCCCGTACTAAAGTGTAGCTATGGCGGATTCACTGAATGGTGACTCAATCGCTGAGCTCTCCCAAATACTCTACTATATTTGGTAGACGCGTGCTTGCAATACCTGAAAGAGCCTCTCTTCAAAAAACTCAAATTATTAATGGCCAAGGTAAGAAAATAAAGTTGAGCCGGAATATCACATTGTAAAAATCCAAATGCGTTGGAACATTTACAAAAATAAGGAAATGCATACATATAAACGTACATACATAAACATTGTCACTATCGTTTATGGGCTATTCTTATTTATTATATAGTCATTAAAAGCTTTTAAAATGCTTAATTCCTCCATCTAATCCAAGAATTTCAAATACATTTTAGTTTAAATTTCCCCCCTTATTTGTGATGCACTCTTTTTAAGTGATGCATCTAGAAATATGGAAATGACATGAGAACCAAACATATCAAGTTCCCAGTGTCAGGCTCCCTTCCATTTCAAGTGCAAGTATTTGATGAAGAAATTCGGAGGCGGATCCCAAAAGAAGACGACCACAAACAAACTCTTCTCGACCAACCGTCGATTGGCCTTAATTGAAACATTCTTGTTGACGCTGTTTTCGAGGCAATTTGCTCCGAATCCGGTGAAAACATGCTAAGCTAACGAATCAAGAAAACTCACAGGCTCATCCATCAATGCTAAATATATACCCCATATCTAAGCTCTTTGATGGGGTATAAAACAATTAGGCTAGTTCTCTTTACCGATGCGTTCCATCTAGCCAGGTCCTCTCGATTCGACCTCGATCGCGACCTGTCCAAACATTGAAG